GCCTGTCCTCTCAGTACACCATCATCCAACTCGGATGCCAGCCAGTCGTGGTGGCCCCGAGCTATACAAACTGAGGAAAAAGGTAAGAAGACTTTTTAACAGGGCCATGAACACATGTGACGACCAAGACTGGGATGCGTATAAAGATGCCAAGGCTCTTTATAAAAAACGCATCCGATACTGGAGCAATGGGTCTTGGAGGAAATTTTGTTCTGAAATAGACTCATGCACCAAGGCAAATAAGGTAAGGAAACTGCTTTCCAAAGACAGACAACAAGACCTTTCACAGCTCAGGAAAGCTGATGGCTCCCTCACAGAGACAGTGGAGGAGGCACAGAGGGTACTGCTCGAAACCCACTTTCCAGGCTGCATCATAGACACGACACACACCTGGAATGACACTTGCTGGACCCCCACGGAACAATCCTGGAACACTGCAATGAGGACAGTGTCCATGAACAAGTTAAGGTGGGCCATTAACAGCTTCCAGCCATTTAAAGTAGCCGGACCAGATGGCATCTTTCCGGCGTTGCTTCAATGGGCAGGTGAAGCGCTAATCCTTATCCTGGTGCCCCTCCTGAGAGCGTGTCTTGCATTCAGATACACGCCGAAGCCTTGGAGGGAGGTCAAGGTAATCTTCATACCAAAGCCAGGTAAGGCCGACTACAACGAAGCGAAATCTTTCAGGCCAATAAGTCTCTCATCATTTCTGCTAAAAACCTTAGAAAGACTGTGTGACAGAGAGCTGAGAGATAACCAATTAACCAGCTTTCCACTACATCTAAACCAACACGCCTATTGTCCAGGCAAGTCGACAGAATCTGCACTACATGCAGTCGTAAGTAAAATAGAGGATAGTCTCAGACGAAAAGAGCTATGTCTGGGCACCTTTATAGACATAGAAGGCGCGTTTGACAAAACAAGCTTCGCCAGTATTGTAAACGCACTTGGCAAACACGGAGTCGATGAGAACATTATATACTGGGTAAGTAACATGCTCCGTAACAGACTAATCAGACTACAAGACGACAACCATCTCAGAGCATTGGCGACTAAAGGATGTCCTCAAGGAGGAGTACTATCGCCTCTGCTATGGAATGTAGTCGTAAACGACTTAATTACCAAACTAAACAACCTTCACTTCCACACGGTGGGCTATGCGGATGACCTGGCAATCCTAATCCCGGGTAAGTTTGCGAGCACCGCTTGTGACATTACACGGGGGGCAATGAAGGTAGTTGAAAAATGGTGTGACGACTACGGCTTTAAGGTGAATCCAGTGAAGACAGAATTAGTCATGTTCACGAATAAAAGAGCCTTAGGCGACTATCGGCTACCGAAACTATTTAACACGACACTAAGGCTCTCCAACGAGGTAAAGTATCTAGGAATAACCCTAGATTCCAAACTGAACTGGGGTTCACACATAGACAAAACTACTACTAAGACCAACATCATTTTCTGGCAATGCCGCAAAATGATTAGCAAAACCTGGGGACTATCACCGCTCATTGTTAGGTGGCTGTACACGACCATAATTAGGCCCATCATCAGCTATGCAGCAGTAGTATGGTGGACAAAGACAAACCAGGTAACGACAATTAATAAGTTAAGACGTCTCCAGAGGCGGGCCTGCTGTGCAATCACTGGCTGCATGAAAACCACTCCCACATCAGCACTGGAGACTATACTTGACGTGAGACCACTACATTTGTTTATACAACAGGAAGCTGCTTGTACAGCCACACGACTAAGCATGCTGGGGCTATGGAGGGACAACAGCTCCCCACACACCAGCATTTTAGCAGACATATACAGGTACTTTCCGTACTTTGCTGCAGTAAACGACCTCATTCCAAAGACGTACGTATTCGACAAAAAATACAAAATTCAACTTTATGAAGACACTCCGGACCACTGTCTGCAAAAGGAGTTGAGGGTCTACACAGACGGCTCAAAAACCAACTACGGTACAGGTTCGGGTGTCTTCTCTGAAGACCTAAATACCTCCTTTCTCCACTCTTTGGTCCACCACAACTTGTACAGGCCTACTTTTTCAGAAAAAAGACAACTTGGTGAGACCGGGAGTCGAACCCAGATCCTCCTAGTTACGCTAGGATGCTCTACCACTTAAGCTATCCCACACTCGTGTCTAATTTCCTACTTTTCGTGCCTGCACTCATACTGTGTGTTACAGTGTGTTAAATATAACCTCACCCATTTCATTAACATTGTAGTCACTTTTTACACACTTACAAATATGTTAAAAGTGACTACAATGTTAATCAAATGGGTAACGTCATATTTAACACACTTATACGCATTAAAATAATCCATTTTAGAAAACTGGGATTTACAGTGTAGATTCCATTTTTAATTGTTTATATCAAATCCAATTGTTATTAACAAATTACATAAACAAAAAGTAGCCTATGTTACTTCTGACCACCCCCTTTTCCTGTGTGCAAAGTTTTATTAAAATCAGTTCACCCGTTTTCGAGATTACCCCGAACAGACAGACAGAAAGACAGACAAAAATTCTATAAATGGTTATTTACGTTTCAACAGCATGCGAATGATCCTCTGAACTTAGTTTAAGGCAGTATTTTAAAAATCACAGACAGACACTCTGATTATATTTATATAACCAGTGACCTTGACGCGCACCGAATCGTTTTTCACATAAGGTTGAAAAAAAAGCATGTTGAAGACACTGTGAACAGTATTCTGTGCGTCGAAAGATTCAATATTGAATGACTGAACAGAACAATGTCCATGGAAAAGATTTCAACGAATAATGTCTAGACTGAAGTCGGCAACAGACTTATTAAATTCGAATATATAATCGTTGTCGATCATAATTTTCTCCAGACGAGACAAATATTTTCTTCGGTGAACGTGGGGCACAACCTTGTGGTAAGTTGATTGAATCAATCTCGCATTAATTTAGTTTTATGCGCATAGTAGCACAATATCAAAATAGAATGTAGTGTTATGAATTCAACTCTGCTGACACTATTTTATTCTTTGTTACAGAATATGTCTGTTCCAAAATTACACCGACTCAAAAACGGAAAAATGAGTATGCGAGCATGTACAATACAAATCCTTATAGTCCTGGAGGTATACTCTATTTAAACGAAAAACGAAATTTCGATTGAAATTTCGCACGTTCCTTACTCTGTTTCTATTTCATTTCGAAAATTCGTTCGTCCGAAAATAGTTCGAGATTTAAATTCTCCAAGCCTAATCTAATTCACAAAACTTTCGAACTAAAAGTTGAATTTTTCAGATAATTGTTCGAAATTTTAATCTCAAATTGACGAAATGAAAAGTGTTACCTATTCATTTTCGTTTTGGGATTTTTGTTTAAATTAAACCTAAAATTACAACTAGAGTATTTTTAATTAAGGCTGCTTAGCGTGAGGAAAATTTTTTAGTATGCAAAATTTACAAATAAATCAAAATTTGTTTAATATTATATTGCCAATACTTCAAAGTGTTACACGACAAATTTAGGTTGACATACATTCAATTCCATAAACTCTACAAATTAGTCGGCTAACACTGTCAAAAGAGGTTGTTTAAATGTAATCAAAAATTTTGTCATAAAGTAATATTGTTTTGAAGTAAAAAACGTTATCTAAAAAGTGTAGACAAAAATAACTCACAAACATAACTCATTCCATTCGTTCACTATAATTGTCTGTGATTCCGAACTTTATGTGCGTGTTCGAATAAGAACTAGAGTAGGGTCACTGGCGAAATTTCGTTTGAAATTCGTTCGTTGCCGAAATTTCGTTTCGGAGAAAGACAGTAGAGCTCCTGATCACAATAGTGGTTACTTTTTTTTATTGTCTATGCGTATAATGTCTATAACAATATTTTATTTAAATGATAATGTTCATATCTTTTTTTCTCAATCAAACATATTTGTTTACTTAATTTTTAAGTTATTTCTATGAATTCTCATTTCCATATATTTCAGTATTCTATTACGTGGAATTTAATGCGCTTCTGCACATTAAAAGTATTTAGGTTTTTAAGTTTAAATAATGAATTATTCAAATAAAGTTGTATTTTACAGGTCAACCCCAATCAAAAGTAAAGTTTGAAGACCTCCGTTGCAATTATATTTTAATAAGGGAGGTTCTCGAAATGATGCGAGCGATAAAAGGACATTGTTCAGCGTCCATACATAGTTAGCCTAAGAACCAACAATGATGAAATATTATTTTCTAGGTTCAAAATCGTAAGTAAATGACTGTAAAAACAAAGATTATTGACGGACACTTCTGAGAACTTAAATTATTGGGAAAACTAAAATTTTTTTGAGGTTATGTTTAATATTCAATGAAACATAGGTCAACCTATGAATTTAGTATGAACTCAGTTTAAAGTGAATTGATATTACAACTAATTCATTTTATCCGGTGCGATTATAAAGTATGACTATTAGGAAAAACTTGGTTAGGTCATGAATAAAATAAAAACTGTAGTTTTGCTTCTTATTTAGTGACTATTTTTCACATAATTGTATCATATTGTTTATTGTATTTATTTGTATATCACATGTATATTGTGTAAATATGCAGCGTGGATGTGTATCAGGTGTTCTTGAATAATTTGGAAGTATGATCCTCTCAGGATGTTATGGCACAGGTTCACTAGCACTTGGTAATAAGGGCTCTGCTCTTTGGTAACATCGATGGCATATTAAATAGCCGAAATAGTTAAACTAAAGGAAAAACAATTGCAAATAAACACACACAACAGGTAATCCGAAACGAGAATTCACTCTCCGGTATTCCGGTATAATATACTACTGTTTGGGTACGGCCAGAGTGCACTCAGATTCAGATTCAGATTCAGATTCCGAAAACAAGCGCGAGAAATAAACAGTGTAGTTAAAGCAGGGTGGCCACAGTGGCCACAGTGGCCGCAGGCAACCTGCTTAAAGTACACTGTATATTTCTCGCGCTTGTTTTCCGAGTCTGAATCTGAATCTGAATCTGAGTGCACTCTGGCCGTACCCTTTGGAATGCACGAATGCCACAGATTACTACAAATACAAACTGCATGCACCACAACCACAGAGTAACGAGTTCAATGCCGGCCCTTCACTTGACAACAGTTTGTCCTTGTCATGCTTAATAAGGAATGAAAACTTAGACCATTAAACCACTGGACTAAGTACGCGCCTAATTTTACTCAGTGCAAAGTCTGTCACTTTTTGAGGGGGACGAGGTAAACCACTACATTAAAATAATCTCCCACAGCCTAGTTACTTGTATTGTTACAATCGCCTACAAATATATTTTTTCACCTACGCACACTAATGACAATCACAAGTAATCGTAACTAGGGAAAGTTCGGTATCGATATTTTAGTTTTCTTTAATTAACAATATCGATAGTTTTTCTTGTTCTCAAAGATTATTTTATAAAATAAAAATATGACAACGAAAAAAATTACTCCGGGTCTTTTAATACTCTCACTGGCACAATTACCCAATCACTTATAATTTTTGCTAAACTTAGAAAATCGTTTTGTGGGAGAAAATCTTAAATGTCATTTGTTTTATTTAAATATGTTCATTTCTTTTTATCTGTCAAACAGTCGTTTCAACATAGGTACAGTCTTGTCCAGAAGTGTGTGTTAAATTTAACGATTTGAACAATAAAAAAATATTGCTACTGTAAGTGTAAATGGCCAGAGGTAAATTAATATGAAATAAAAATACTTTAAGACATTAGATTAAAACTTTTATTGAAAAAAGTACAACATGAACTCAAATAATCTTCTACACTCATTTTTGAATGAATGAATGATCACTTTATTGTACACCATGATATTTCAAAGGACAATTAATTAAAACTATTACATAACAGTACAAACGGCGGCCTTATCGCTAAGAAGCAATTTCTTCCAGGCAACCGTATGTTAACTGGACTTTTATATAAGGAGTGGGAAGTAGATGGTGTCTTTGTGGAAGGTATTTAAAGTGCAACTACCATTAATAACACTTATAAATAATTATGTACAATACATTTTTATGATTATTACAATTATTCTCAATACAGATCTTGATCTGTTGATGATTTCATATCTTTAAGGAGCTTATGGCAAACGAGTCAAAACTTATCATATTTTAACACACTTATATTAGCCTCACTTGTAATTAACTAGGTAAACAAATCTGGAAAGTCGAATTCAATCTACTTCTTATTCTCATATTGATTCAAAACTTGGTAAGTGTATGTAATTTGGATGACAATACAATAATCTGATATCATTGAGCCAGTCTGATAATGAAGCCAGGAGGTGAATAGTGAATTCTTCAATGTTACCAAAAAGATCCCTCGAGTCTGGGTTCATTTGGTCTGTTTTAAGAACACTCCTGCCACCATTCCAATGTTAAAGTATAAAAACTCATTTTTACTAAACCGTCATGAAACCACCAGCTGTCTTATCGTTAATTTTTGCACAGTGTTTTCCAAAGTAGATACATGTTGCTTTTCGAATGTATATACATTCGCAATGGATTACAATATTATAATCCATTTAGTTCTAATCGGTTTGTATTCTTTGTTGGGTTAAGTTTATTTCGCTAGAAATTGCGATCAAGTACATTGCAAATGGTCTCATTTTTTAAAAATAATCTAGATAAATGATTAAAAATAAGATTGTTTATTTTGTATTTGTTATTTTTGCTTGGTAGTAGTTTTTTGTACTTGTAATGAATAAAATAAAGGTTTGGGTAATCGTTTGTTTTATTAACTTCCTTCAACCTAGTAACATGACATTGATCCTTAGATATACAGAATCTCGATAAAATATGGAATATATCTTATCAATCTCTAGACAGCAGCTGATCGGTAAGCAATGAATTATAATTAGAAGTATGTCAGCTTTTAGGAATCTAGACATCAATTAAGTAGTCAAACAAGATTAAATTCAGTGGCATACCGTATCTATTCTCATTCTGTTTATCGTCTATGTGATACCGTATGAAGGTGAAGATGTGATTTTAATGAAGGACATTGCTATAGAGGATAGTGGGATAAATACGAACGCTGGGTAATCGCGGACACCCATGTTTGGCTATGTTAGAAGGGGTGGAAATTATTAGGGCCAACTAAGAATTACTTAAACTAAACCCAAATGAAGCACATTTATAAATACAATACAATATTAAAGATTTACATTGGATTAAGTATTTTCTTTAAATTCCAATAACAAAGTATTTTAATAATGTAAATTTAGAATTACTTAAACTAAACCCAAATGAAGCACATTTATAAATACAATACAATATAAAAGATTTACATTGGATTAAGTATTTTCTTTAAATTCCAATAACAAAGTATTTTAATAATGTAAATACTTTCAGATATCTTTTTTTCTTTTAATAATAGTTAATTAATTAACTTTTTATTAGATGAATTAATAAAAACAATTGTTTCATTAAACCTTAACTGAATTATGTTGACTGGAAATATATTGTAGTTTCAGAAAAAATAAATAATTTAAAGATATGAAAATATTTGAAACATTAACATTATTTATTATTGAGATTTAAAGTAAATAATGATTTATAAAAATATTTCACATATGGATTCGTTCATATTAATATAATAGTAATATTTTTTTAATTGGATGAATAGCCGAGCGGATAAAGGCACTGGTCTACGATGCAAGCAAGCTAGCGATCGTAGGTTAAAATCCCCGAAGGAACAAATTTCAGCATATGTATTTTCGCGGAAATTTGATTAAAAAACGTTTAATAATTAGTATTTCAACAATATAAAATCATAAAAAATATGAGATAATCAATCAACATAGTTTTTATATTTAACTGGCCTTAATTAGGCTTTTCTTACTTGGTCCTAATAGGGATAGGCGTTACATTTCCAAAATGGGCCCAATGTGGTATCCCATTTGGTGCCTAACTTGAACTTAGGAAATTCGAATTGGGTGCGAACCCTTTCCCAAAAATAAATTCTATTCGGGTATTAGGTTAGCAACTGAAATACAAACAAAGACTAGTTTAATTTGGTATGAAGACAATGCCGTAATGAAACAAAACTGAATAAAATTGTTGTCCGATAAATACCTATGTGAGACAATTGCTAATAATTAATCTTTGTTAAAATTTAAATTAAGCAATTGTAACGTATCATATCTATACTAAAATAATATCAGGTTGTAAATAGCGCGATTCCATGGTCACCCAGACAATGCAAGGGACGATCTTTCCAGAAAAAAGTCACTTCTGGAATCGGGAATGAAATTTGAACCTCCCAGTTGAGATTTTTTTTTATGTTATAGGGGGCATACGAGCAGACGGCTCACCTGATGGTAAGTGATCACCGTCGCCCATGGACACTTGCAACACCAGGAGTATCACAAATGCGATGCCGGCCTTTAAGGAAGGAGTACGCTCTTTTTTTGAAGGTTCTTGGGTCGTATTGGTCCGGAAACACTGCTGGCGACAACATATTCCACAGTTTTGTCGTTCGTGGTAAAAAATTTCGACAAAAACGCACGGTTGTGGATAGCCACGCATCAAGATGATGGGGATGAATTTTTTGTCGCGATGTACGAATGATAGATGGGCTGAACATTGATTTCTTTCCAAAGAATAAATAAGTATACGGAAGCGAATTACATCCACTAGGTTTATTTACTCTATACTTTTTGTACTCCTAAAAATAGAGCAAAAATTTGTTGTTGTTTAGCCCAATCTTAAACACTGAATGCTGTATTGATTATGCTATCCCATTAAGATAATAAATATTCACGAATCCTGTCAATTTAATGATCATTCATCCTCTTCCTCTGAATTATAGCGTTTCTTTATAGCTTGGTACAGACTTTGAGCAAAATTCTGAATTTGTAAATCTCTTCTGTACTGTCTCTGCTGTTCGATGAATATCGTCTTTAATAATCGACATTTTTTTTTTAGTTTCTTGTATTTTTTTTTTAAAATGGTGCCCTGAAAAAATAGTCCATTCATTACGACAGAAAGCAATATAATGGTGATAAAAGACTTCTCTTGACTTTTTAATATCAAATGAAATCTTAATTATAATTAATTTCATAGATTGAGAAGAATTTTACTGATTATCAAACTACACAACTGCTTCAGACCAGGAGGCCTACTCTATTTCAACGAAAAACGAAATTTCGATCGAAATATCACACGTTCCTTACTCTGTTTCTATTTCATTTCGAAAATTCGTTCGTCCGAAAATAGTTTGACGTTTTAATTCTCTAAGCCTACTCTAATTCACTCAAAATCACTTTTAGTTCAAATCACTTTTGAACTAAAAGTTGAATTTGACAGATAATTGTTCGAAATTTTAACCTCAAATTGACGAAATGAAAAGTGTTAAATGGGATTTTTGTTTAAGTTAAACCTAAAATTATTACTAGAGTATTTTTAATTAAGGCTGTTTAGCGTGAGAAACATTTTTCAGTAAGAAAAATTTACAAATAAATCTAATTTTTGATTATTATTGTATTGACAATACTTCAAAGTGTTACACGACAAATTTAGGTTGACAAACATTCGCTTGCATCAACTCTACAAATTAGTCGGCTAACAATGTCAAAAGAGGTTGTTTTAATGTAATCAAAAATGTTGTCATAAACTAATATTGTTTTGAAGTAAAAGACGTTATCTAAAAAGTGTAGATGAAAAGAACTCACAAACATAACTCATTCCATTCGTTCACGTTAATTGTCTGTGATTGAAATAGAGTAGAGTCACTGGCGAAATTTCGTTTAAAATTCGTTCGTTGTCGAAATTTCGTTGCGGAGAAAGAGAGTAGAGCTCCAGTACTTTTCCAATCACATCTCAATCCATATAGAATACAAGTACATGAAAAAGTTTCGAATAAAACCGAATATGTTCCGATGATCATAGAAATGACTTGATGAATATTATCAGATGATCTTTTTATATTTTTGCTTCACGGGAAGATTTTTTTACTAAATGTAATTACATTTTAAGTATCAAGTTAACTTACAAGAACTCAAAATTTACTATTGAACAGAAATATTTTTACTTCTAAATTCCGAAACGTGCACTTGTCATTTTTGCACTTACATTTAATGAAAAAAATTTCTCCGTGTACTAAATAATAATATGAATAGGAAATCGATTGAATCGATTCATTACATCATTCTAATTAATTCGCAGCTAAATTGTAAGAAATAAAGAACAAAATAGAACTTTCGTTAAGAGCGACTGCAGACTCTATGAATAATGTACAAAACCTGCTTCAAATCTTGAATAGTTTATAGGTAGTTCACTTCGTCTGTCAGTGATTATATACAAGAAATGCATAAATCTAAGAACAAGTAATTATTTTGATTTTATAGACGAACAATTCGACTCCAATTATAAATTTGTATTGAACAACTCTTTATGTAAGAAGCTCTTTACCACGAATATCTAAAAAGAACAAGAACAAGAGTAATCATTATGCTTACTTCATTCGGTGCTTCTTTTGCCATTGTTGTTGACTTTTTCGGGTGAATAACAAAAGTGTGTTTTAGCATTTTTTTCTCTGGATCAGCGAATGATGAAATCTTCCTTCCATTTTTGTCTAATAGCATGGCCTTTAAGAATAAATATATTTCTATATTACAGGCTATATGAGTGCTTATTTATCATGACTATTGAGGGAAGCTTAAGTGGCTGCAATCATGATCAATTGATATTATAAAATCCAGTGAATTCTTCATTAATTCATGATCTCTGACATCAAGATAAAAAAAGTTTAATTAACTTCCCAGTGGGAAGTCATTGTAACGGGCTCGATTTTGCAAATTGAAAATTTTAACATATGTCCACGTTTCAAGGTCTTTAGAGTCGAATGGTATGGTTTTTAAGAGGATGTCCGTGTGTGCACATGTATGTATGTATGTATGTATGTTCGGATTCAACTTTTGCCTCGCGTATCTCGAGAACAAATGATGATATTGACATGGGACCTATTTCATTCAATGCATAATTATGTAACTTAGACCTGATTAGATTTTGAGCAAAATTGGTCTAGCCATTTTTTATGCAGAATCAAAAAACTAGAATAAATGGTAAACTAGCTAAATCTTATCATTCTTTCCGCTGGGAAGTTAGTCGCGTGGACCTTTCGGGTCGCACCTAGACCAATTTTTTCATAAATTAATTCTAACTTTTGGTATTAGATATAAAGAATATACAAAAGGAGCAATACAAGAGCAATAATAAATTGACAAAACAGTGAAAAAAATACTGCTATTCTGACGAAATCAGAATAGCAGTAGTCATATCAGCAATGCTAGTTCAATTATACTATTCTTGTAAACTTTTTCAACACGCTAAGCCTGTTCCAGTGAAACGCTTGTTGCTAATTTCAGTTTTAAAGAACAAAATGAAAGTCAACGCTTTATATTTCTCTGATAGAAATTCAGGCTTAATTACCCTCAACGTGCGGCTTCTCCCCCAATACATATTACAACGTCCAGAATTCACTGAGGTATATTTAGAACAGTCCTTGGTATAGTTGCGTTAACAACAGTTTTTTTTCCTGTAAGCCCACAAAGGTAGAAACATTCCTAACTGTTCAACTACCTTTGGCTCTAGTCCGTGTATCCACTCAGTAAAATAGCATTCACCGCACGTTCTATGGAAATTTTTCAACTAGTTATTCAGCTGTTGTTTGAAAATTATGTTATATTCTCATAACAAAAAAGTCCTTATTTAGATTAACTAAACTCATGGATAGTAAATCTATACTACTATATAAATTTCTGATGTCTGTCTGTCTATCTGTTCACGGTAATCTCCAAAACGGCTGTTCCTATTGCAACCAAATTTTGCAGACATATAGAGGGAGTTGTCGGGAAGGTCATGGGCTACTTTCTGTTTATGTAAAATTGTTTATAACAATATAATTTGCTATAAGCAATGAAAAACGAGATCTATGCAATATATTTGAGTTCTATCAACACGTAATTTTTTCTTTCTTTGGTTCTTGGAAATAGAGTGACTAACTATGTGAAATGAATCGAAACGATTTTTTTTTCATAACAATTGAATCGTTTTATAGAAGCAGAAATTAAATCATAAGCAGGAATTCGATTGTTTTCTGTTCATTATCAATGCCTAAGAATTTTTTACTTTTCGTTTATTACTATCACTAAGCAATGCCAAATTGGCTCATTTAAACCATGAATTACTATTTAAAACATTTTCGATCAATCTATTATTATGTAACGTATTTCTACACATTACGCGGAAGAAGTCGCGGGAGTCTGCTAGTCAATTATAAGTTTATTATTTGAAGATTTGATAATTGAACTATAAAAAAATGTAACTTACATTGTTTGAGTCGCAAGATGATTCATCATCTTCACTCGATTCTTCTGATGATATTTCAATTTCATTATTTTGGATATTTAGTTTTCGATTATTTTCAATGGGCTGTTTTATAGTAGCATTCATTATATTATTTTCTTGTCGTAGTTTAATCTAGAAAAGAAACGGATTATCATTTATTAAAAAGAAAAATCAGAGCTAAACAAACTTGAATATTTGGCAAGTATTGCTAGCTCTGAAAAGATGTAGAGTTAGAAATCTGTTTTACTAACTTATTAATTTCAACAACAAACCTCTTCTGCGACGGGGGTGTGATTCACTTTATGCTCTTTCAGATCACATGGAAAAGTTGATCCATTTTCTCCTCCATCATTCATCGTTTCAACTGATGATTTCTTCTCACTTTCTGCAAATCTTTTTGGGTCTAACTGTTGGCGGTATTTTTTCAAAATAGACTTGTCATTCATCGCGATTGTGGTGAACCTTTTCTTACATTTGTCAACTAGATTCGTTGGTTGTACACTCTGGAATTCGATTAAAGTAAATCAAAACGAAGTGCACATACCACAGTTATAGGACATCTGAGACGCTTAACTCTTTCAGAACTCAAGACTATATATTACTTTAATCCGTTTATAATCTTCTGTGAGATTGATGGATAAAAAATATTATAATGTTCTTGCTACAGACAATTGATTGACTTGAAATTAAGTCGTCAAGCATTTCGCTATTCAAATGTAAACATTTCATTTTGAAGTTAAATATTAAATCGCGGATGTTTGTTTGTTTACCGGTTGAAAGTCATGCGACTATTGAATTGGGTTGATAGAACAATTTTTGGTAAACAAATTAAACAATGCGTAAAACATTTATAACCAACAAACGTCATTTGAGAACAGCATAAAAGCAGTTAAGTAAAGTTGTTGTTTGTCATAATTAATCACACCCTTTCTACAATTACTCCCGCTTACTACTTGTTCGGCAATGAAGCAAGAAAAAAGGCATTCATATTGACAAACGTTTTTTTCAAATTTATACTCTTTTTTTATGTGGGAGTTTGAGAAATAATTTGAAAATGAAATGACATTCACCGGATCGGGGAATGGCTTGAAGGCATTGCGAGGAATTCGAGGTGACTTGTTTGAGACTCGGTCCCGAAGTGTTTGTTCATTTTCTGTAAAAAATAAAAATTCCGAGTAAGCAATAGTTCTATCAAAAGAAAACAAAAACACAGTATTAAACGCTACCGAAATTAGTCTCATTTATTTAAAACATTCAAGATTACCTGCTTACATGGTAAAATAGGCTAGTTGCCTATGTTTTAAAAAATAGTTAATAATAAACCTTGATGTTTATTTAACCCCAAAAAATATTATTTAAAAAAAAAAATACATTAACAATATGTATTTTGTATTCAAATTTCCCTCGAAAACGCTCTAGACTGTCATGGCGTCTTGAATGACGTCACACCGTGCAAAGCAAACAATACGCTCTACGCCGACTATTAAAATTATTTAGTTAAAAATGAATCCATCGTATTACAAGTACTGTTTAGTGTCCTAGTATAAAAGGACAAGCATAAAACGCCAGGCAAATTATTTATATGCCACAAATGCGGAAAAAAGGTTAGAACTTGCAAGGAGGGATGGTGCCTATTCATTGTTTATCAACAAATACAAGAATAATTTTGTGATGAACATTTTGATGTAGGTAAGTATTTTGCATAACATAATCTATGAAATCAAAATGTTATACAAGCCGGATAAATTATATTGCATTATATTGATAAAACAATAACAATTTATTATATGCTTCGGTAAATCCCAATTCCATGAATGTTTTATGCTTCCTTTCAATAATTATCTGAAAACAAACTGATAAATTGTATCAAAGTAACAATAACATGAATGAGAAATCAATGAAATGTATGAAAACGGCAACCACAAGTAATGTTTTGCACGTGGTGACGTCAGTCTTTCTGATTGGTGTTTGCCGTCACGTGATCAAATGCCTATTTTATTCGAATTTATTTTCTAAAAATAATAATAATCTTTAATTATTATAATAAATAGCTTTATTTTTTGTTATCTGTATATCATAATTCATATTTAGAAACTGTAACCCATTCGATTTATTGCTGGTTGACACAAGCCTATTGGGCCAAGTCCTTCTTCGAAGATACGTTTTTAATTTATCAAAAATGTACTCTCTAAAATGAAACAGTGAAAATAATGACATACATTGCATATTCACTGCATAATCAGTGAATATTCATTGATTTTGTAGTGTAAATTGAACCACTGTTTGAATCAGTTGTTTTATATTCACTGATTTTGCAGTGTATTTCATTATTTTCACTGTTTCATTTTCAGAGAGTACCATACGTAATAATTTACATTCGAATTGTATACCACAAAAAAGTAAAAAACAATATCTATGATCATCTCTGCATTCCAACAATTTTAGTTGGTTAAAAACTGAGAAACTAGAATTTTTATTACATGACAAGACGGCAATGGTTTAATAAATAATACAAAGGTGTATTGATATACTAAAGTTGTAGCGCACTATTTAGTCATTGTCGAGAAAAAAAAATCCGAAAGTTTGAGCTAAATTTTTTCTATTAAGTTTATTAATTCATTATGGACAATAAATATATACGTAAATTAATTCAGCATATGAAAATATTATTAATTTAATAAATTCTAGAAAAGAGCTATCGTTGATGCTGCCAACAGATTTAACCTCCGAAACCGTAAAGGGTGCGAGCTTGACGCCTCAGACCGTAGACGACATCCATGGCGGTGACGGTCTTCCTCTTTGCGTGGTTGGTGTATGCCACAGCGTTGCGGATGACGTCCTCAAGGAATACCTTCAGAACACCGCGAATCTCCTCGTATATCAGACCGGAGATACGCTTGACGCCACCTCTGCGTGCGAGACGGCGAATCGCGGGCTTGGATATACCCTGGATGTTATCGCGCAGAACTTTCCTGTGACGCTTCGCTCCACCTTTTCCGAGCCCCTTGCCTCCCTTACCGCGACCGGTCATCTTGCTTGCTGCTGCTGCTGCTGTGTATCAATGTATGAACGAACCTCACCGTATCGTACGTACGAACGGTGTCGGACGCGCTGACTGATACTGAACTAGGTCCTCTCCTATATATATACTGTTTTTGTAGCCGAGCGGGGAGAGGGGGAAAGAGGGACGCGCGGCACGTAGCGAATGGTGGGGGGGGCATCACTGCCTGTCGGCGACCGACCGGACGGCGCGTCTTGTCTCTTCTTATAGGTATGTGAAGTGTAGGTATGATCTGTAGTAATAGGTATGTATGTATGTATGTAGTATGAAAACTAGAAGAAAAATAGGTACCTATTTGTTTTTTTATTTTTTATTATTGTTATTATTATTTATCTATCAGGTGGCTGGCTAAGCTCAGGTCACAACACTAACCTAACCTAACCCACTTGTCACGAATCTGTCGTCAATAATATGGTATTTTTCTATTACTTAAATATGTAGATAATATGGGTCATTATCTAACGACAACAACTAATAGCATGCACATTATGGCCGACTTAGGTTATTATTATTATTATTATTTTTTTTCACTAGAACTAGGGCTGCCATCTCTAAAATGTGGCAACCAGGATAAGACGCGTGATAACCCCGGATTTTGGAGCCCAGAATCCGGACAGACTAATAAAAATAGTTAAAAATATCACAAATCAACTTTTTTATGTTGATCTAGGCAAAAGAGCTAGCGGTCTACCTCATAACAAGTGGTCACTACTGCCCATGGACACTTTCAGCACCAAGGGCCTTTCATGCGTTGCCGTAAATTTTTAAACCCGGACTACAAATGAAACCCCGCCCGGACGCTCCCCGGACGCCCCGTAAACTAGGACAAATCCGGGGAAACCCGGACGGATGGCAGCCCTAACTAGAATGAACGTCCTGAACTGACCGCCTCTGCCCGTCGTATGCTCAACGCCTTATAGTCGATGAAAATAATTATTTTTCATAAATGCATTTTTAGAAAACAGTTGTTACTTCCAATTTTATTGATCTCGGAATATTCCCGAAAAGCAATTTACGTTACTGTACCTGATAACACGTACTACTACAACAAAAAATGCAATCTTACAAAGGAGATTGCTCAGCTTCCATACATGTTTGGCCTAAAGACCAATAATCATCAAAAATTGTTGCCTAGATTCGAAATTATATAAAAATTACTGTAGAAACGAATATTATTGACGGACACCTATGAGAACTTCTATAAACCATATACACTGAACATATTAAAATAATAAAAAAACAAATAAGTTATATAGTAAACTAGGGAAATCAAGCCAAGTACCGAAATTATGGATTAGATTCAGATATATAGAGCATGTAGATTAACAGATAGTTGCCTGTTTTTAAAGTTAATGCTTAAGAGTAACTTTTAAAATCAGGTGTCATTTCCGGTTATAATAAGGTAGGTACTCTGTGACAGAAACTGTGTGATGATTGTGAATGAGCCACAGATTAGAGAGAATTTTGAAACTCTAAAGCTAAGAGATTTAGGTTCTATAGCCATATATTCAGTAGCTTCATTATTTTTGTTATGTTTTTAAGATAACCATATTTTAGATTTTTAGTGTATCACACCTTATAATTTTATTTATTTATTAATTTATAGTCAGGGAACGTAGGCCCATAGATAGATAGATAGATAGACCTTAAAGTCTAACATATATACAGATTATAATGTGTTTATGGAGGTGTTTGGCGAAAAATGTATGGCAATAGACTTTATGATGTCGCCTACCATCTATAATAATTGTCTAAGCACATTTGCATCTAGTGAAAATGATAATATAGTTGTGGATATTAATACAGTGTGATAAAAAAAATGATTTATTTTATCGATCTTTACATAATAGATTTGTTTTTATTGTTATATAAACAACTTCGATCAGTCTTTGGCTCAATATTACTACACCCATAGCCATTAAAAAGTATGTTTTCCAAACCGGTAAAATTAAAAGTCCTTTTTAAAGTAAATATAGTATACAAAGGTGTCCGTTGAAATCTAATGACTGTAAATTAAATTATAAATTACGCCAAGAATTACCGTGTATGTCAATATTTTTTGTGAATTTAGGCCAATTTGAGCAATCTCCTTTCGTTCGTAATTCAATAACTATCAACAGTTAATGAGAACCCGATTATAATATTAAACATTGTGCTCGATGGATTTTATCTTACCTACACGCTGAAGTTTATCAAACCCATATCAAGCCTTAAATGTTACTCAAAGATAAAATTACTTACCGTCTTTTGCTAGTATTATTCCTTCATAGTAAACATAATTTTCATCATGGAACCAAAACTTCGTTTCTGTGATCCATTCAATTCCAACAATCTCCTCCATAGAATGTATATATTTTTTCACTTTTTTACCATCAAATATTGCTACAAATGCATATCTGTGCTCCGAGTCCATCGTTACAATTTTTATTCAGAAAAAAACGACTGTTTAATGATCAAACACTATGTGAATAAATTTGGTAGTATGTATCAACGAAACTGTCACGCGTCTCCCCCAACGTTCAAAGAGCGACTGCTTTGCTCTATCTCGGTCAAACATCACTGGGTTACAAAGAGGTACCAAAAAGTAATGTACAACTCAGAACCCTCGTAATAAAAATTAGGGATGGGCGTTTTTAGAATAACGATGCGCGATAACGATGCCAGGTTCGGATGCGCGCATCCGATGCGACTGGATGCCGTTATTGGATGCCGATGCCATCTAGTTTTTGTCAACGTTACCATAACAACAGTGCCACAAACTTATCTGTGCCGGTGGAGATATCGCTAGGGGTGAACAAATATGTCAAAATGCTATGGATAAATTGTAGTTCAAATTGAAGACTTGTGTTAGGAAATATGAGGGCAACCTGCAAACATATGTCCGCGGTGAGATGATCAGGACCAGGGGCCCTCTTCTGGTTCATGCTATTGATGCATTCTAGTATCTCAGTGGTGGTAAATGGGGGCTCCTTAGGTGTGTCAGCAGGTTTGTCCATATCATCGCAGAGATTGCGCTGATTCTCAGTGTTGTTTGGGGGTGTCGTCTGGGTAGAACAAAAGGCAAAGTTTATCGTCTTTAAATATCAAAAGCGATAAAAGTATTTGTTTTGATAAAAAATAATTTGTTTATACAAAATATGCTTTTTGGAAATTTATTTCAAATAATATTTTATTTTTGATTCACTATTTCAGCTATAATGGCTTACACATTAAAAATAGATATACGGTGTCACGGACTTTTTTTAGAACTATTTATGAGATTCAATTCCACCATACATTATATTCATGTAACTTATATTGTTTTTGCAGTGCATTCCAAAATGGCTCGCAGATGGGAGATTTATTCCGTCTCACGTGACACTTAAGGCCCACTTGCACGTTCCAGGGTTAATATATTTACCTCCGAGTTAACTATTAAACTGGGATTAAAAAAAAATTTTTTCTTGCACTGCCATGAGTTAACACTTAAGATTAAATAATAAAATAATTAACCCGCCAAAGTTGGAGGGTTAAATTGCTAACTCGAGATTTAAAACGTTATTTATTTCTGAATGATGGATGACTTTTTGTTTTCTGATGATGACGAAAAAATTGTCGACTGTAATATAAGTAGGTACATATTTTTTGACCGATATATCCTGCTAAGCATTTTGTTTTTGAAGAAGAGTAGCGCCGACATTTTTTTTATTTTCGAAAATATTATATACATTTGTATAAAATATCACATAGCAGTAAACTGTCACTACTTGTACAATTCAGGGCACGTAAACGAGATTTCTTCTTCATTTTACAAAATATAACCGCACGAAATTGTTGTCACAAAATACAAACTTACGAGACAAATAGGTACTTTAAAAACACCATGCAATCGGTATACAAACACCTATTTGACAGACAAAATACAGGACGCCATTCAACTTAAACGCCCAAAAACACCGTCTTTTCAAATTTGACATTACGAAAGAGATATATGCAAGATACTGTTGTGTGAAAGGGAGAACAATACTTATGTCATTTATCATTCTCTCTTTTTGTAGGGTTAGTAAACCCTGGATTATTTTCTGTTCGTGCAAGATAAAGTCTGAGTTAAGAAAATGTTATATTAACTTTGAGTTAGTAAACTTGAAGTTATTTTGATATCTTAAGATTTACGTGCAAGTGGGCCTTATTGTTATATTTTGGCCAATTCACCAAATAACAACATAAATTATAATCTATATGCTATTATTATGTATAAGCTTTATTATTGGTTAGTTTGATTAAAATTTATTTAGTATTTTTTGAGTGAAAGAGTTACAAAGATCCATACAAACGTAAGATTGAAATTAAAAGCGCAAGTGGTTAATATACAACTTTAAATCGTTGTAGATCCTAAACAATCATATAAAATGAAAAATGGTGTAAGGAACCTAAACATGATTTTCGATTATCTAGACAATGATACCCCACTCGACATATTTCGGCAACTTATTTTTTTTTCTCACAATATGGCGCCCAGTTGTCTCCATATTGATTTTTGAATATTATCATATCTTTAGTAGCACTTCTATGATTAAGACGAATCGAATGATATATAAATCATCAAAATCGGTCCACGCGTTTGGTCTCTAGTGTGCCACAAAGGAACAAACATACATATGTAGACTGTTAAACACTATACCCTGTCTGCGCGTCGCGCTTCGCACTCTTGCATTGCGCAGTCGGGTAATAAGACGGCTTACAGATGTCGACACTGCTAGGACAATATACTTCAGCTACTTTCACAGCATTATGTCGTATGGCATTCTATTATGGGGCACGGCCGCAGACATTGAAACAGTTTTTACCCGGCTGCGCAATGCAAGAGCGTGAAGCGCGACGCGCAGACAGGGTTATGTGTTTAACAGTCTATATATGTATGTTTGTTCCTTTGTGGCACACTAGAGACCAAACGCCTGGACCGATTTTGATGATTCATACAGCAATCGATTCGTCTCAATCATGGGAGTGCTACTAAAGATATGATAGTAATCAAAATTCAATATGGGCAACATTATCAAAATTCAATATGGGCAACATTAGGCGCCATATTGTGACGAAGTAAAAAAAATAAGTTGACAAAATATGTCAAGTGGGGTATCACTGTCTAGATAATCAAAAATCATATTTAGGTTCCTAACACCATTTTTCATTTTATATGATTGTTTAGGATCTACAACGCTTTAAAGTTGTATATTAACCACACGCTTTTAATTTCAATCTTACGTTTGTATGGATCTTTGTTACTCTTTCACCTAAAAAATACTGAATTGATTTTAATGAAACTTAACAGTAATATAGCTCATATATGTTAATTACATATATATAATAATTTATGTAGTTATTGAGTGAATTGGCCAATATATAACAATAAGTGTCACATAAGACGGAAAAAATCTCCCATCTGCGAGCCATTTTGGCCTGCACTGCAAAGACAATAAAAGTTACACGAATGTAATGTAGAGTGAAAATGTATCTCTTAAATAGTTCTTAAAAAAAAGTCCGTGACACCATATATCTATTTTTTAATGTGTAAGTCATTACCGCTAAAATAGTGAATCAAAACTAAAATATTATTTGATATCTATTTCCAAAAAGCACATTTTGTATTAACCAATCATTTTTTATCTAACAAATACTTTTATCGCTTTTGATATTTAAAGACGATAAACTTTGCTGTTTACACTATGTCATTTCGAAAAATATTTAAAAAGTTACAACGATGACAAAGTGATAGCGCGGTGTACTATGTAAAAGAAAAAAAATGGTGTATTCGCAGTAAGATAGACAACGCATAGGTAGGTATTGGTTTTTGTAATAATATGGTATTGTAGTTTTTGATTGGTTTTGTTGCTCTGAAAGAAGGGCTGCCTATTTGCTAGATACCTTTGTAGATAGGTAACCTACCTACCTTGATTGGTACCTACCTACATTATCTACTAAGTGCGCATACTATTTCGGCATACGAATTACCTATCTACATACCTACATAATATATGTTAAGTATCTGTTATTAAAATAATAATAATTAAATAAAAATAATTAAATTAAAAAAAAATCAAAAAGGAATATTAAAAAGCAATCGTTTTGACGATTGACTTAACACATTGATCTTGGGTTTTGTTGGAAAATAGGTGAATGGATAATTATTCGCATTTTTTTTGGATTTTAAATACCTACCTACTATAAACAAGTTGAGTAGGTGCTTACAAAACATTTTTATACTGTTGTAATTAAAATAGGTAATTTTTTTTAATAAAAAAAATATTTCAGATACTTACCTTCACCGTAATAATGACGCGCAAACGCAAATCTAGCCTTTATAGAGTATCCTCTCAAGCACGAGCAAAGAGATTAACTAGGTCGCAAGAATCTCTTGAAGAAATTGAACTGAGAAGGCAAGAACAGGCAGATCGCCAAACTGCTTTGAGGG